TACCGGGGCTTTGGGGGAAAAATAAATAAATAAAATTATAAAAAAATAAATAAAAGTGGTTGTGAAGGGCAGTGAAAAGAAATTGTCATATTTCAGACTCAGTATTCTTGTTGTAAAGATAGAAATGTAGAGTTTTAAACACAAATGGTAGAGAAGGTGACATAATAGACTGTTGACTATGGCCACGAACTTCTTTCCCAAGTTAATGAATTTTTTTGTTTGTTAAAAGGCACATATTAAGTTTGCAGACCATAGGGACATACTGAGAGTCTAATTCACCATTTCTAATATCTAATTCAGTATTGTGAAATTATATCTGTTACCACTGTGAAACTCTTTTTAGTTTTCTAATATGTTTTATCAGCAGGGGGTATGAAAGGTCATTAAATTGATTTCCATGCGGTATGACTCCAACTCCCTCTGGGTGCAGAGCAGAGCCTTCTGGCTTATATACCTCCTATTTCTCATACAAACTTGTTCTTCAGGTTTTGTAATCTACCATACGGTCTCCTTGCAGGGAAAAGATAATTAGTTATCATTGACTTATTTGACTTTTTTTTAAGCATGCTTAGAGGAAAACATAATGCTATTAAGAATACATTGGCTAATTATTAAAGAAATATAACAATAAGTCCTGGGGTGAGGGTGGAGTGCAAAAAGCAAACAGAACAAAAAGAACTGTTTCCTTCTCCTATGATCCTCTTCAAGGAGGGCTCAGATGTACTCAGCATCCTTTTACTAATGCCTTACACCATTGGTTCTCACTTATTAGCTCCAGTATTTTCTTTTTTAATAGCACATTTTTTTTTTCTGTGAGGAAGATCAGCCCTGAGCTAACATCCATGCTAATCCTCCTCTTTTTGCTGAGGAAGACCAGCTCTGAGCTAACATCTGTTGCCCATCCTCCTCCTTTTTTTCCCTTTTTCTCCCCAAAGCCCCAGTAGATAGTTGTATGTCATAGTTGCACATCCTGCTAGTTGTTGTATGTGGGACACGGCCTCAGCATGGCCGGAGAAGCGGTGCGTCAGTGCGCACCCAGGATCCGAACCCAGGCCGCCAGCAGCGGAGCACACGCACTTAACCACTAAGCCATGGGGCCGGCCCCGAATAGCACATTTTTAATACTTCCTTAATTATCCTAAATGAAAGCCAGAGCTGATAACCTACCTACACACATACTTTCCAAAGCATTGACATAATACCCCAAATGTAATATTTCAGAAGAAACAAAAAGAAAATAATTTCCAATAAAATGGCATGTATCTCAGGATGTCACTGTCTGGACATGACTGTACCAAAGGCACAGTGAAGCTGTCAGGTGATTGTACTCACACATTGAATTACAGTGAATTTGACAGAGGCAGTCAGGCCTGGGTGTGTAACGATTGTCAACTCAAATACCACAAGCAGCATTGCCGTTTGTAATGAGATGTCCTAAATTGGTGAAGTTCTGGACAAAATAACATACCTATCCTTGATTTACAAGGTAGCTGCATTCTTTTTTTTTTTTTTTAATTTATTTTTTCCCCCAAAGCCCCAGTAGATAGCTGTATGTCATAGCTGCACATCCTTCTAGTTGCTGTATGTGGGACGCGGCCTCAGCATGTCCGGAGAAGCGGTGCATCGGTGCGCGCCCGGGATCCAAACCCGGGCCGCCAGCAGCGGAGCGCGCGCACTTAACCGCTAAGCCACGGGGCCGGCCCAGGTAGCTGCATTCTTGAAAAATCTAGGGAACATTCAAACTGGAAAAAAAAATACTTTATGTTAAACAGAATTAGGTCTCAGGCTAAGATAATTTGGAACAGGTTTTCATCCATATGAATATCCAGCATGACATTCAGAAGTCATGCGGAATATGGGATGACTTCTCATTGTGTGGAATTGTCTATGCACTGCAGGAAGACTAGCACCCCACCTCCTACCCCCACCTGCTCAATGCCAGTAGCAACCTCCAGGTATTGAGACAACTAAAAGCATCCCCACACATTTTCAGAATGCCCGCGGAGGGGCAGTAGTGCCAGTTGAGGGTTTTTATGGCAGTTTGCAGTCTGTTTTGTGCTAGCACCTACCACGCTGGAGCCTCACAAAACTGAGCCAGCTGGGCAGGGTGTGGCTTGTCGCCTCTTTTTTTTTTTTTTTTTTTTTGTGAGGAAGATCAGCCCTGAGCTAACATCCATGCTAATCCTCCTCTTTTTGCTGAGGAAGACCGGCTCTGAGCTAACATCTATTGCCAATCCTCCTCCTTTTTTTCCCCAAAGCCCCAGTAGATAGTTGTATGTCATAGTTGCACATCCTTCTAGTTGCTGTATGTGGGACGCTGCCTCAGCATGGCCGGAGAAGTGGTGCGTCGGTGCGCGGCCGGGATCCAAACACGGGCCGCCAGTAGCAGAGCGTGCGCACTTAACCTCGAAGCCACGGGGCTGGCCCTCGCCTCTCTTTTTATACATGAGCGAAGTTGTGCTCAGCGAGCGTCCGTGACTGGTCTCATGCACTAAGCTAATTGGAGGGCCAGGATTCAAAGGCTGGTCTCTGGTTCTAATTCCAGGGCTCTTTCCACTTCTTTGTATTTTCTCTTAGGTCCACACACACTTTTCTACTTTTTTTTTTCTTTTTTGTGAGGAAGATTAGCCCTGAGCTAACATCTGTCGCCAATCCTCCTCTTTTTGCTGAGGAAGACTGGCCCTGAGCTAACATCTGTGCCCATCTTCCTCCACTTTATATGGGACGCCACCATAGCATGGCTTGACAAGCGGTGCATTGGTGTGAGCCCAGGATCCGAACCCCGGGCCACCACAGCAGAGCGCGTGCATTTAACCGCTAAGCCACCAGGCTGGCCCACACACATACTTTTCTATTTTACATCCAGATCACTGGCTTTGTTATACCAATGTAATAAGTTGGAGTCAACACCAACTGGAAAAGGCCTAATATTTCTACAACATAATTGCCAAAAGATTTCTAACTGCAGTCATTGTGCTGGTGATGTGAGAGAAGTAAATCAGCCTCGTGACACTGTACAGTTAGCACAGTAGCAAAGGAAGCTTGGATTCCAGAAATATAGATGGTAGCTCTATTCACCAGTTATATCAACATCTCCATCTTTGCCCTACTGAATTAGATGTTTTCTTAAATTATTTCTATCAAATACACAGTAGAGCTTTAGTTGACTGGCCTGGGTGTTGGTATTGGTATTCTGTGCTTGAAACAAACCCACCAAGCACCCAGCTGCATAAGATAATGGAAAAAGCACTATAGGTTTTGGAGTGAGACAAACCCGCATTGAGTCTAACCTTATGGGACCTTGGTTTCCAAAAATGTAAGGTTAACCTAAGGCCCCCAGGTTGAAAGGGTTAAATGAAGTATGAGGAAGAGCATAGTACCTAGCGCATAGTAGACTATAGAGAGTGGTTGCCTTTCATCTCCCCAGGGGCAGACAGATGGGGGCGGGAGCACAGACAGGGATGTGTCCTTAGGAGGCTCCTTATCTATGGGTCTATAGGGCAAAGACCTTAGTCTGCAAACTCTAGCCCAAATGTGTAGTGAGAGCAGTTGCAAACACATTATATTGCCCCTGGTACCATTTACCTTCCCTACACCACTGTGCCTCCAGGCCTTCTAGAATAGAAACATAGCAGCACAGCAATATGTCTAAAAATAGAGAGAGCAGGGCATGCCTGTTCTTATGGTGGGAGAAAAGAATGTCAAAGAAAACAGCTGGGACTAATGAACTCTACATTAGCCATATTCCATTCTTTCAACCCAAGTCAAATGTCGGTCCCCATTAGGCAATTGGCTTTGACAGGAGCTGTGCTAATTACCACTTACCAACCTTTAATTTCTGGGTAAAAGCAAAAGGAAAAAAACGAATGGATTTTTCATTTTCCAGAGAGAAAGGAATAAAATAATAGTAGTCTGCAAAGAAAAAAAAAAAAAACTACATTAATTACAAGAATTATTAATGTGCCTTTACTAACCAGATTGTTTAGCTGTTTAATTTCCTAATTATCTATTCTTTTTGTTTTTGCCTTCAGGGTTTTCCCCTACTTTATTTTATTTGTAGGGGTTTGCCTTAAATTATTTTGGCTGTGTCTTACATTACTTGAGGTTTTTAAGGACCTTAGAATGATCTAGCCTGAACACCCATCCACTGCCTGATTCCTCTACATAGCTGCCAGTGGGGTCCTCCATCCTGTTTGAAAGCCTCCAGTGAGGGGAACAGACTCACTTCCCAGGAGGTACACTGAATTTTCAGATTTCAGAACCTTAAAGTTGGCTATTGGCTCCAACTAAATCAGATGACACGCAATTACAAGGAAGTGAACCAACAGGTTAATGGATAGGTACTGGATTTTCTTCAATATTTTCCAATAATATATTACAAGAACTATCACCAAAAACATTCTAGCTTCTTCTCCAGCTTATAATTATTTTAATAAGACAAACGTGTATTTTTTGATCATTTAATTATTTAACTATAAATGGAAAGGATAAATCAGTGTTCATTTTTATTAGGGTTATGAGAGGCTAGAAAGAGTGGGTTGCCCAGCTGTCCTTTGCCTCTTCTTTTCTAGTCTAGAAACAGAAAATTTCCTTCTTTTTAACACCTAAACGACTTTTGCTCTTCTGATTTGTTGAAAATGGAACCCCTCTCTCTACTAAGAAGCTACAATTATTAAGATGTGGGTTATCCCTGCAGCAGGTGCTGTTAAATCAAGTTGTTTGAATATCTGCTGTAAGCTTCCTGCTCTGAGTTTCCTCAAGCCTGGAATGGCTTGCTGTCAGCCTGGAAATAGGAATACTATGAAGGGATTTCTGTGGAACGCTCATGTCACACTCAATTCTTCCTCAGCAGTTAAGGATCTATCTGGTGACAATAACTGGAAATAAATAAACTGGAAAGAATGAATTAGAAGTTGTCCAGGTCCTGATGTCCCAGACCTACACATTTGACTATATTGAACTACAGAAAGGTAGACTTCAAGAAAAGTCTACCAAAACCTAATGGTGGGAAATTACCCTAATTTATTATTCATTAGCATATTAATCTAGTCTAACATGCAGTTGATGCCAGTTAACATTTTATTAAGTCCCCTGAACTAAGGTAGGCTTAGACTTGATGGATTTCCTGGCAGTATCATTAGTATAGCCTCATTATCCTTCAGATATTATTTAGTTAAAAGTTAAAATGCCCAGTCTTAAGGACTGTGTATGTATGACCCCAATTGAAACTGAAAAACAATAAGCATGATTTTCTTCTAGAAAAATCTTAAAAGACAAAGTTCTGAAGGTTAGCTGGCCTTTCAGGCAGGCATCTTCCACCAGTGCGCTGACCCAATTACTAGTCTCTTAAAGCTGCTGTGTTTGGAAATGTGGATGCTATTAAGGCTCTTCCATCACATTATACTTTACTCAGCTAGTAATTACGAATATGAGCTCAGCTCTGCGGAAAACAGAACGGAACGGTCAGCAGTCATACTCTGAGTCTGCTCCCCTGGTGTCCAGCAGAGAGAATATTACAATGTCTTTCAGCCAGCCTTTGCTGGTTTTCCCAATATTAGGTCTGACCATCAGAAACTTTCTGTAACTCCAGGTAGGAATCTCTAAGCTTTCAAGTTTAGCATCTAAAAACCTCACTCTGGAAGTTTCCTTTAGAGTCTATGATTCAAGAGTGATAATATGTGTAATCAAGGAGGGATTTCAGTGCTATGGGGGAGAATTAAACTTTGATTAGGGTTTTGAAACTGAGCAACTTGTTTACTCCTAACTTCATTTGAGCAGACCAAAATCCTGGTCCACATGGGACTCGGTAGTTGCTCTGCATTATATCACAGAAAAAGGAACTCCCCCCTCATTTAACCATTATTCACGGTTACTTCTGTGGGAAATTATTGAGGAATAGGGAAATATGACAATTATGCAGAAAATACCTATCAATACATATGCATCTGTCTCTGAACAAGGTCCAGATCCTGTGACTCTGAAGGTCCTTGTGTTAGAAGTTGAGGCAAACAGGCTACAGGCTGGGCAGCTGCACAGCTCACTGTATTTGATTTGAAATAAACCTGAAGCTCTCATCCATGAAAAGAATTGTAACAAATTAGTATTAACTTACTAATTGAAAGTACTATGGGTATTTCATAACAGCAGGTTTTTTTGTTTGTTTGTTTTGTGAGGAAGATCAGCCCTGAGCTAACATCCATGCTAATCCTCCTTTTTTTGGCTGAGGAAGACCGGCTCTGAGCTAACATCTATTGCCAATCCTCCTTCCCCCCTCACCCCAAAGCCCTAGTAGATAGTTGTATGTCATAGTTGCACATCCTTCTAGTTGCTGTATGTGGGACACAGCCTCAGCACAGCCAGAGAAGCGGTGTGTCGGTGCGCGCCCGGGATCCGAACCCAGGCCACCAGTAGCGGAGCGCGCGCACTTAACCGCTAAGCCACGGGGCTGGCCCCATAACAGTAGGTTTGAGTGTAACTTTGATAAGCATGTCGGCATGATGTTGTCTGTTTACTAGCATGACATTTGTTTTTAAATTAATTTTAGCTAAAACATGAGAAATCATCATTTTCCTCTTTTTTTTAATTTTTTTGGTGAGGCAGATTCGCCCTGAGCTAACAGCTGTGCCAATCTTCCTCTGTTTTGTATGTGGGATGCCTCCATAGCATGGCTGATGAGCAGAGCAGGTCCGCACCCCAGAATCTGACCCTGCGAACCCGGGCCATTGAAGTGGAGTGAACAGAACTTGAACCACTCGGTCATGGGGCCAGCCCCCTTCATTTTCCTCTTTGAACACAATGTTAAAAATCTGCTTTTAATATGCGGGAAATATTTTTTAAATTAGACAGTTTATATCAAGATAACTTGAAATAAGATGTTATTCCAAATTCTTAAATATGTAGCCTTATGCTATTTTAAGTCAAAGAAAGGAAGACAAGGACAGAACAACTTCCAAGCACATAAAGAAGGTGGAAGGAAAGCCCAGTGGCTGCATTGAGTACCATACAGCAAAAACCACAAAAATCTTTATCAAAAATATTCACCTTGGGTTCCAAATTACTCAAGACACTCAGTATTGGGCATTATTGGAGTTTAAATAAAAGATACTGTTCAAATTACATGGGAAAAAGAAGACAACTGGGTAAAAAAGAAAGATCATGGCTGCTTAATACATTTTATTCAGATCCATCGCTACGCTTCTTCCCATGAGTAATCACAGGTAGTGTTTTATTTGCAGGAGGAGAAGGTCTTCCAGAAGAAATTCTTGCAGGGCGTTTTATCTTGGGGCGTGGACTGTTGAAGGGGCGGGACTTCCTGCCGTCTGGACACCCCTCTGGCTTCCCCTCCTATAAATGGCACTGCACTGTCCTGGGAGGTCCACTCGTACAACCAAGCAAGGAAAGTCAATAGGCTGTTCTTCTTTATTTCTGCCATTTCCTGTATATGCTTTTAAGAAGAAGCAGAGGACAAAGGAAAGAAAAATCAACCATCTGGCTCAGCCAGCATTAAAGATCCATAATTTCTTCCTTTAAAAAAAAAGGAAAGATGCTCCAGAACAATAAATCACATTTCCAATTAAAGGATGAGAAAGAGAACACCTTAACGAAATTGCTCTAATTAGACAAAAGGAAAAGTTGAGAATTTTCAATCAAGGAAAAAAACTGCTTGTTTTGCCCATAATCTTTGCAAAGGTCCTTAATTAGAAGAGGTCAGGAAATCTATCATTTTCCCCAACCAGTGATCAGCAACTAAGAAGCCCCCGAGGTGGATCAGGCTAATTTAGCTTAGTTTTCCCTTCTCTGGTCCTAACTCCTGGCTGTCCACAAATTGCTCCTCAAGACAAATCAGATTGAGACGTTATATTCTGGTCTTTCAAACTCCTTAGAAAGCTTTCTGATGATAAATGACTTGTCTGAAACTCACCTGGTAATTTCAGAGAAAAATCCATTTTTAATGGTCAACTTTATATACTCTCTCTTGGAACTTTTTCAAAATGGAAAATAGAGAAAAATAAATCACCTCATGAAGTTACAAATTCTCACAATGGAAAATGTAATGATGTCAATTAATCTGAGCCAGGGAGAACATGTGCTGTATATATAAATTAAGAGTCTAGAAGTATATGTGACTAACACTGCAGTGGCGGCTCCGTGATTGCACTGCAATAGACTGGTACAATCACTTAACATTGCAAAGACGAGCAGATGGAGATGGCTAGCATGAAGACACTCCCCTTGAGTTTCAGAGCTTTCTAACAGACGTCCTAGGTTGGGACAACTGAAGGTAAACGAGAATCAATGGACATCACAGTACCACAGGGCAGCCAAGGAGGACACTATGAAGTTCAGCCCTGTATACACACTCGGCCATGGAGATGCTGGGGAATCCAAGATATGCCCAGGAAAGATTCAGCCAGAGATGGACTAGCACATAGCCAAGTCAGAGACTACTCACCCCGCTGTCGTGGCCAGCGAGGCCGCCCACCAGGGGAAGGGCAGCGGTGGCCCTTGAGAGCAGCAGCAGCAGCAGCAGCAGGCAGAGGGGCGGCAGCATTCTGCGGGCTAACTGGCTCTTCTCTTTAGCTCTGCGGCTGCTCATCTTTCTTGGCAGCCCTGAAATCCGTGTTTTGTGGACTTGGGTCTTTTCTCTGGAGACTCGGGGGTATTTTAAACTCAACCTGCAGCTGTTTTTTGCGTATACACATGTCTAAAGCCTGAACCGCTCTTTCCTCACACTCAGGCAGTGACGCACACGCCTGAGCAATCAGTGGCCACAAAAGCGCTTCTGGATCGGGTTTAACCCCTTCATTAAAGCCTCAGAGCTTTTCTTGTGTTTAGAGGGAGTTTGCTCTTACTTTGCAATGCGTGTGCACTTGCTTCTGAAGAAGTTCTCCTTCCTCATAATTATGCCTGTAGCAAGCAGGAAGCCATGAGAACACAACCAAGTGATTTAACATAATATAAAATTGGCCTTGGATAGGAGCTTAACATCTGAAATTTTGCCCGTATAAAAGTAAGACTGGGGCTGGCCCCGTGGCTTAGCAGTTAAGTGCGCGCACTCCGCTGCTGGCCACCCGGGTTCGGATCCCGGGCGCGCACCAACGCACTGCTTCTCCGGCCATGCTGAGGCCGCATCCCACATACAGCAACTAGAAGGATGTGCAGCTATGACATACAACTATCTACTGGGGCTTTGGGGGGAAAAAAATAAAAAAATAAAATCTTAAAAAAAAAAAAAGTAAGACTGAATCTGCAATGGGCAGAAGAGACAAGAAGGCAATGAGGGCTTGGCGAGACGCTCAGAGCACCCACTGCTTTCACCAAATCACAGGCAAGGGCGACCCGAGTGATCCTTCCCCAGCCCAGCAGGCCAGAGACATTGTCCTCCTGCCCAGGCCTTCTGACACTGTGACATGTACCCAAACAGTCTTATTAAAATTAAGATTAAATGCAGATTCTGATAGAGTAGGTACAAGGAGGAGCCGAGATTCCACAATTCTAATGAGCGCCCGGGTGATGCTGACACTGGAGAGCCAGGCTCAAGTCCAGTGTTTTTCAAACGCTGCTGACCACTCACTAGCGGGTCATAAACTAGCACTTTTTTGGAATGAACTAGATTAGAGTGCATCAGGTGGAGTAAGGATAAATATCGTTTTGTGTGTCAGGTGTAGAGCATTTCTCACTGAACGACCTGTACTTGACCAGCTCCTCCTGACGACGCTGCTGTGAAGTCCTCTGTGCCGCCTCTTGACTTCTCCTCACAGGCCCGTTTCAGAATCACACAAATGCACAGACCCTCTTCATCCACCTCAGACAGCTAGTAAAATCTGAAACAGCCACCACAAACCTACTAAAGATGACCCCCAACATCCTAGGCAAGGTTCCAAATGGAAGTAAAGCAACCGCAGAGCTGACAGCTCTTTCCAGTAGTGAACACGGATGTTTTCAGTTTTCCAAAGTCCTGGTTCACACGCCTTCACAAGGGAAATCTTAGTCTTAAATTTCATCACAGGCTTGTTGTTTAAGATCCTAGGTTAAATTGGCATGGCCTGATGACCCAAGGCTCATACACTGCATGTTGCTTAGTCCTTTTTTGCTGTACCAAAATAATTTTTTTACCTAAGATAATTCCCACAAATAGTATTAAAAATTTTCATATATTCTTACAGATGAGAAATTCATGGCAGCTCAGCCAGCTTCTTATATCCTTAGTATATTCTGCAGATTCTACTCAATGGACTCATTAAACATTCTGAGCACCTAGCATGTACAGAGAACTAAAAGGACTCATGCCATCCACCCCGACAGGGCTGTTACAGCCTTGCTAAGGGGCAGGATACACACTCTACAAATGAAAAAAAAAAGTCAATTTTTGGTGCAACACTAGGTGTGCCAAGGAGGGGTGTGTGCTACAGGTTGAGAAAGGCTTCATGTTATCTCATTACTGGCTGTTTTCAAGGAGGTGGCAACTTAGTACTTCAGGGGAGAGCTCTAGACTAAACTCCTGGCTTTGTCATTTAATTAACCTCTTTGTGGCCTTAGTTTCCTCATCTATAAAATGAGGATAAAAATAGTACCTACCGCCTACCTCCTAGAGTAGCTGTGAGGACCAAATAAGATCGTGTAAAGCACCTAACACAAGTGGAACACACAGTAAGCACTCATGGTAGGAACTGTCAATAAGAAGCTATCCTAGGGCCAGCCCCATGGCATAGCGGTTAAGTGCGCGCGCTCCACTGCTGGCGGCCTGGGTTCAGATCCCAGGTGCACCGACACACCGCTTGTCAAGACATGCTATGGCGGTGTCCCATATAAAGTGGAGGAAAATGGGCACAGATGTTAGCCCAGGGCCAGTCTTCTCAGCCAAAAGAGGAGGATTGGCATGGATGTTAGCTCAGGGCTGATCTTCCTCTCAAAAAAAAAAAAAAAAATGCTATCCTCAGTCCTCACTCCCTACTCCCCCACAGCATAAAGAAGAGCTCCTCACTACAAAATGCTGGAAACCCCTGGCTAGAGCCATGCAACCTAAGCAAGGGCTCCTCCTCATTCCACCAGAACATCTTGGGCTCCAGGGTACAAGTATCACAGGGTGCCTACCATGTGCTACAGTGCTACACAAGGCACTGAGTGATCACTGTTCACCACCCCAAAGCCTGCCCTCAGGGTGATGATAATCTAATGTTTTATGTAAGAATGGGTGTTTCTGAGAAGATGTACAATGGGAACTTTGGTTAAAAGGAACTCGTACTGAATTATTTTGAAAAACAAAGATTGCTTATTCTAAAAGGCAGAACTAGGACCTAGATGGAAGTTAGACGGTGGAAGACTTTTCTCTATGTACAGAAGAAACTTGTAACAATTAGCGTCCAATAACAGGGCTATCTGTCCCTGGAGGAGTTCAGCAGAGCCTGGGGAACTACACATCAGAAATGCTCTAGAAGGGGTTCCTAGTTGGTGGGGAGATTAGACTAAATGGCCTCTAAGGGTTCTTTATCAATTCCACAGTTCAGTAAAGGGAAGAAGCACGCCCCGATTAACCTTTGTTGGACATCTAGGTTTTAAGGTACCAGCTGTGTACAAGCCAGTGTAGACCTTTTCCAGAGCATTCCAGGTGCTGCCATGTGCAGAAGGGGATGCTTTGAAACTTCCCTGGCTCCAGTTAATTTCAGTAATAAAACAATTAACACAAGATCTTTTTTTTTTTTTTTTTTTTGTGAGGAGATCAGCCCTGTGCTAACATCCGCCAATCCTCCTCTTTTTTTGCCGAGGAAGACGGCCCTGGGCTAACATCCGTGCCCATCCTCCTCCACTTTATATGGGACGCCGCCACAGCATGGCTTGCCAAAGCAGTGCGTCGGTGCGCGCCCGGGATCCGAACCAGCGAACCCTGGGCCGCCGCAGCGGAGCGCGCGCACCCAACCGCTTGCGCCACCGGGCCGGCCCCAACACAAGATCTTTTATCTCAAGCTTTTTGAGGAATTGGTGTAACAAGGAAGACAAAAAATATTATAAATGTAAGTCGCCCCCAACCACGTTTATTTCAAAGACATCCGCTTCTTTATATGGTTAATCATCTGGTATATGGTTAACAGGTTAAAGTTCAGATAAGCTTCCAGGACTCTGAGGAAGCAAGCCCACGAAAAAGAGCCCTCTAGAACTCCTCTCTGCCATCTGTCACCAAAGACAGAAGAAACATAAAGGATGATTGACATCACTTTGGACATTCCTGAGTAAACTAAACCCTAACTGGAACATGTAGTGGGGAAGAGACAGCTCATGAGAACACGGGAAATGGAGTCAGCTATTCCTTACAAAGTCTGACCACTCTTGTGTTATAATCCCTGAAAAATGTGTTGCAAGACCACTCATAAACAGGTCATACATAAATATGCCAAATAAACCAAAAGATTACATGAACATCAAGTCAATTTCCTCATTTGGCTAGAAAACGTGATGTCAAAATACCCATACCAACTAGAAGGTGCTCTCTACAACCCTCTAATCGGAGACAGGACACCCATGGTGCACACAGGTTTACCATTTCCAATCGTGTATGCCGAGTTTTGAGAGCTACAGAAGTCTATAAAAATAAGATCCACTATAATGGTTCCACCCATTTCCTCTTATTGTCATATACACCTTCTCTGCGAGGTATTTTTAACCCTGTTTCACTGATGAGAACACAAAACTTCAGAAAGTCATACAGCTACTAGAGTTGCAAAACCAGGATGCAAATCTAAGTCTGTTGACGTTTGGAAAGTGCATAGTATCTATATCTAGTGTCTCAACTCTCCTTGATGAGAAGTTTAAAGAGAGCTTATCTGAATCTGTCGACCTCTGGAAAGTCTGTGATATCTAGTCTCTAAACTCTCCTTGAGGAGTTTAAAGAGAGCTTATCCGAAAATGAAACTGCTAACATATGGATCTCTGGCTGGAAGGTACTATAAGGATGGAAGGCTTTATGATTCTCTTTGCTTTCACTGATGTAACACACAGATGTTATAATTACTATCTGAGATCAAATGATTAGTTTTTTGCGGAACTTGAAATTGTGAAGTTTGAATTCAATGCTTTACTATGACTATTGCTTATCATCTCCCTTGAAGAGTCAGACTTTGGGGTGTCTTTTGCTGATCGTATTTGCGCATGATTGGTGTAAGTTCTATCCAAAACGCATGCCCTTTTCTCTCTCGCCCCGTCTATAGTCAGGACCCAGAATGTGAATACCATCTCTACTGGTCAACAGATCCTGGGCACTTGGTTAACCCCTTCGAGCTTCGGTTTGCACATCAGTAAAATGGAGATAACCAGATCTACCCTGATAAAGTTGTGAAGATCCAACGAGGTACTAAATGGAACACCCAGAGCAGTGCCTGGCACACAGAAAGGGCTCTGTAGATGCCAGTCCCTTTTCTTATCCTTACTGTCCCATTAGGGAAAAGGCATGCCCTGGACCTCTAAAAAACCCCAAAGAGAAGACAGCAGAACTGGGGCTCTTGGAAGCATCATCTCTCAGAAACTAAAACAGGAGACACACTGAAATGTTTTGGGGTAGTCCAGGTTTTCCTCTCAAACAAAACTACTGTCCAGTAGAACCATAGTTTAATTACAAAACAGCCAGAGAAAAGTCACATAAATTGTGTTTCTGGAAAAAATTACCTTTAAAAAGTAAAAAGGACCTCTTCCAAACAGCCACCTTTTTACCTTGTTACCCCAAGTTTAAAAATAACATTGGTAATCAAAAGAATTAAATAAATATAGCTTTATTCATCTTTCAGGGACTATCAGCCTAAAAAATTCTGTAAAAGAATAAAGAAATAACTATGATTTTTGCTTGAAAAAGTCAATCATATTTAATTGCTACCAATTTTATTAATTGCAATAGATATAACTTCCAGTATATACCATTCAAACACATGCCTCATTTATGTGTGTATGACACGGGAGTATTTTGCTTAAGAGTTTCCAGTTCTCTTTTCAACTAGCTTTTGCAGTCAATGACTTGGAGAATACAGCACAAAATGCCTCTTAGCATTTTTTTTTTTTTTTTAAATCTCCACTTCTCTCTTCAAAATTCCCTTTGTGGCAGTACACATTTTGGGGGGCTCTACCTGCTGAAGGCTGCTTTTTCCAGTGGTGACAGAGGTTAATTCTCACTTTCCACTACTCCAGCCTCTGCTGGCTCCAATGAATCTTTGTTTTCATCCTCTGACTTCTTTTTCTTCTTTGCTTTTCGTTCTAGGTTAACCTGAGCGATCTCTTCACTTTTCTCAGTGATATATTTTAGCTACAAAAAAAAAATTAAAGAATTATATTTTTATCTGGTTGTAAAAAGCCATTTTATAAGCCTAAGGGGGAAAAAATCTACACCCACTCCCAACGACTCCTGCCCAAAGAATTTGGGTGGAAAAGCCTGGGTGATATTCTTTCGAGTTAAGTAGAGCTTCAAAATATTTTCTGGAAGAAGGAATCAACTACAAAAATCAACTTACTACTACTCACATATCCTACCCAAATAGGTAGGAGTTCCTTGAGGAATCAAAAGAATTAAAACTTGGAGCTTGCAGAAGGCATGCCCATCACAAATATACTCTACAAAGCATGAACGCAGTCAACATCCCCCTAAATTTATCCAACTAAGATTACTGAGCAAGCACTATGTACCAGATATTAGGGATACAAGGTCCCTGCCCTCAGGGAAGATTTAGTCAAATGTATAAATTTAGCTGCAACTCTTCAGTAATAAGCTTTTGTCAGATGAAAGAAATTAAGAGTCCAAAATAAAAATAATATTCTGAAGTAAACAAATATGCAATAAGCATATAACTTCCCAATTAATATTCTAAGATGACTTGCATTGACCACTCCTTTGCAAAAGATAGAAGTTGCTCACTGAAGAAGACTAAGTAACAGTTGTGACACTGCAGAGAATTTATAAAGAGAGAGAAACTCTTTTCCACTGATACACAGCACCACCAGGCACCTTAGCTGTTTTACTTAGGAATCATAGCACCCTTAACCTTGACTTAAACTTTGGAGAAAGGATATTAGAAGAGCAGAAGCAGAAAAGAGACCCAGATTCTGGGTTAGATGGCTAAGGTTCAGCTATCAACGAGAGACCTTCGCATTTAACTTTGTCAAGTTCCTGAACTCCAGGTGCCTCCCCCTATTAAATGGGGCTGATAAGTCGTGTTATTAAAAACCTTCACAGGGTGGTTGTGAGGTTCAAATGATATATGTAAAATCATGTCTATAAAAGCCTCTTAGAAACTGTCAATTGCTATACAAATTCATTCATTCAACAGCTGTTTACTGAACACCTACTGTGCGCCAGGCCCTCTTCTAAGCACAGCAGATGGAGCAGAGAAGAAAAAGACAAATCTCTGTTCTCACGGAGCTCACATTATGGGGAGGAACGTAAAGTATTTTAACTGCTAGGATTAGAATAAGTCAGACATGCCATCGGCCACAGTCACTAGCCTGGGATGACCAGAGCATCACCTGTAAAATGAGGGCTTGGTCAAGATGACTTCTAGACGTCTTTGAAAAGAGAGAAAATGTGCTCAATGTCCCGCACATCCCAGCTATACAGATACTCCTTCCGTACCTGGCCCGTCAGAATCATGGGCAACATCATGAAACTATCCCCACACTCTCTAGCCTGTGACCTGTCTCTGACATCATGCTGTAAATGAAACATGGGGCCAAAGTTTTGAGATATTACAAAAAAGGCAAATTATGAAATCCCAGAGAGTGCTGATTAGAAAATTTCAAATTGGCTTAGCAAGATCCATCATAATGAAAGAAAGACTATAAATTACAGGCAGGTCTGAATGGTTCAACCATCTCTCGTTTTTAATGCAAGGTGCCCTAGGGAATCACTTCATGGCTGCAAGTGATTAATTGGGAATAATGTATTCTGATGGGAAAGGGGAGTGAGGAAAGAAATTCATCTCTCACCAATGAATTACTCCTCCTGGCTAAGAGCTTCACATCTTCAGTGTTAATTGTGCTCCTTTTTGCATGTCTGTAGAAAGGGCAGAAACAATTCACCAAAATGTTTGGTATTAGTTAAAGTTTTGATGAAACACAGAAGTTCATGGTCAGACTTCAAACTAGCAAGGATCTCTAACTAGCCCATCTTTTTAGATTAAGGTCATTAAGCAAGAGTGACACAAAAATGAGTGAAGTGACTAGCCAAGATACTAATTAAATAAAGAGACTGAGAGAAAGCAGAAGCCCATCTTCTACCTCCACCTGAGGGCCAAGGTTGCCTGAAGAATATGAGCAAGCAAAGGAGTCTGAGGTGTTAAACCCTTCCAAAAGTGACTTGCTTGGTCACAATGGTCACAGTGAACACCACAGAAAAAGCAAGCAGGTCAGTGTACACCTTTAGTGAAAAGAGAAAATGGCCGAGTCTCAATGTGAAGACCGCCTCTGCTGAAACAGACATTAAATAGAAAAACAAAGAGAATTTCCACGCAGCCTGGCTCTACTTATACCAAGATCCCGAAGTTCTTCTCTGAAGGCTGAATTACAGGAAAACACTTACGCAGATGTCTCCTAATAGGCCATTTCCCAAAAAGGAGGTAACGCACTCCCTCAACAGCAGCCCAAGTAGAACACAGAATATCCTTTAAACTGGAGTCCGTTTCTTCCTTATGACTTGGACTCCAATTCTCATCCCAGTCCTCTTACCTTTGCTTTAAAAGGTAATTTGAGATAATAAGCTCTATTCAATAATTCATTACTCTATTTACACCTTTCTTGCCATTTCTAACTTCCTCCAAAAATGAGGAACTTTGTAAGTAGGAATCTTTGTATCCTTAATAACCAGCAAAGTGGCCAGCACACAGTAAGTCCTCACTGAATATCTGCTGAGTTAAAGATAAAATCACACAGAAATTATACTGTATAATTTGGCCGAATTAACCTTCCCATCCTGCTAAACATGCAAATATCACGTGTCATCTCATCATGACTGACAATATCTGCCTGTCCTCAGACAATATCCATTTCAGGATAAAACTTCTTTTTTTTTTTAAAGATTTTATTTATTTACTTTTTCCCCCCAAAGCCCCAGTAGATAGCTGTACGTCATAGTTGCACATCCTTCTAGTTGCTGTATGTGGGACGCGGCCTCAGCGCGGCCAGAGAAGCAGTGTCTTGATGCGCGCCGGGATCCGAACCCGGGCCGCCAGCAGCGGAGTGCACGTACTTAACCTCTAAGCCACGGTGCCGGCCCAGGATAAAACTTCTAATTAGCCACCTGCAAGGACCGGGATAGAGGAGAGGAGAAAAGAAGTCATATAGAACGTGATAAGACAGCAGCCACAAAGTACAAAGCCAATCCACAGATGTCCTGAGTGGAGGATGTTAAGTGCCATGGACACAGTATGGCCTCGCTCAATCATACCATCAGGCTGCTCTGTCGATATTTACATTCTTCGTAAAGTGCCGTGAAAGGAATAAGTAAAAGGAAGCAGCGTACTGAACTATTTACAGGGTAAGGTTAGCTTATCTGTTCACAAGGAAACGTTTAGGGAACAACAAAGTCATCCCTCTCTACCACTCAGCTCGTCATCTGATATCTCTGCACCTTGTTCGAATGCTGACACTTTCCTAGATGGAGAGGCAGGTGTGACCTGTGCCAGCCACTGCACATCAGACTCTCCTAAATCAGACCTCTGACTCCAGAAATGACTCCAGGGAAAATAACAAAGCAATTTTTCACATAACACTTTTAGCAACACAGGTTTTAAAGCCTATTCCAAAAATGTTCCTAGAATTTATTTACTGTAGAATATCTATCTTCTTCAAAATGTTTCATCTTTAACTTATCAACAATATTAGGTGACTAGAGATTTCAAAGCTAAATAAAGGAAATTCACAACTTAAATTGGGAAATGATTTTCCAAAGTTTATAGATGAATTGATTATTTAGAATTTAAATGCATTTTTTCACAGAAACAATGTTACAAATAATGGTTAGGTTCCCAGCCAGCCTACAAAGACAATTTAATAAATAGTTGGCCTGAAACAGTACATATTTCAGACTTCTCATAGTAATCATAGTTCTAGGAGTAGAGACTGGGTGGCAGGGAAAACTCAAAGCCATAGGATAAACAAAGCTGACCTTCTGGGAATATCAATTTCATTCAGTGACAAACTTGAAAACAGGATTGTTTATATAAGAGAAAACTGGAATACCACACTTGGACACTGCAGAAGATGAGGCATCTCTTACAGTCAGTAAAGCCTCCGACGGTCTCACTTAGAGAACAGCAGCCGACAGCCTTTACTTAAAAGGTGATGTCCTTCTTGTGGAGCTCACAATCTAAGTGGCACACACACACCACCTCCCCCTCGGTACCCAAAAGAAAATCAACCTCTTAATATAATTATAAAAAACAGAGTACCTGAAAGCTCAATGTATCACAATGCTAAATATTTCTTTTTTTTTTTTTTAAAGATTTTATTTATTTATTTTTTCCCCCCAAAGCCCCAGTAGATAGTTGTGTGTCATAGCTGCATATCCTTCTAGTTGCTGTATGTGGGACGCGGCCTCAGCATGGCCGGAGAAGCAGCGCGCCGGTGGGAGCCCGGGATCCGAACCCGGGTCGCCAGCAGTGGAGCGCGCTCACTTAACCACCAAGCCACGGGGCCGGCCCGCTAAATATTTCTAATTTCATTTTTATTTCTAGTATTTTTACAGAAGAATTTAAAAATGTTGTCTTGGGCCAGCCCCGTGGCTTAGCGGTTAAGTGCGCGCGCTGCACTACTGACGGCCCGGGTTCGGATCCCGGGTGCACACCGACGCACCGCTTCTCCGGCCATGCTGAGGCCGCGTCCCACATACAGCAACTAGAAGGATGTGCAACTGTGATGTACAACTATCTACTGGGGCTTGCGGGGGTGGGGGGAAATGTTGTCTTTTCTCACAGCTAACATAGAAATGGCAAGAAAAGTCACAACTGGGGGCTTACTACTGGCATCTAGCAGGTAAAGGCCAGAGATGCCACTAAACATCCTACAATGCACAGGACAGTCCCCATCACAACAAAGAATTATCTGGTCCAAGATGGCAGTAGTGCTGAGGTAGAGAAACCCTGCTCTACATTGATAAACTTTATGTTCAAATCAAGTAATCATTTGTTTACTTATTTACATTTTTGTGTCTCCCTTTGTAAGAAAAAGGGGTTGTATTTTCAAAAAAAAAAAAAAATGGCAAGTAAAGGTGATAAATGTATTTCACAGGAGACACGGTGTGGGGAGGTAGATAATGGGCCACACGTAAGGGGCCACCACCTAAATTAACAATGAATAAACCATATGACTGATCAGTGTCCCATAATATCACCTTATTCCTTTTGGCCAAGTTGAAGATGCTAAGCGGTTTTTAGGGACTCATATATACAGGAATAGGAAAGATTTAGAGCCTGCCCTCTGAGAACCTACTGCTTTAATTCATTCAAAATATTCACCCGAGAAACAAAGAGCTAATAGGAGCAAGGTGAAAAGTAAGAGGTGTGGGAGAGGCTGGACCACATCAGAAGTCGCAGCAGACTGGAAAGCTTTAGCCCTTTCAGGCCTCAGTCACTCAAATTGCTTCATAAAAGCAATTCGTTGCAATTGTTTTCAATTACCTGAGGTACTAATTGAGGAGACGAGAATAAATCACCTTTAAAAGCTACAGCTTTACCAGCTGAAAGCAAGTCACCCCCTTTTCCGGGAGCATGTCTCACTCGTAACAAACTCGGCAAATGCAAGCCCAATGCTGGTCGCGTGCTATCATTATCTGCACACCTGCGGGCAATCACAGCCGGGAGCACAGCACGGCCCAGCTCAGGGCTCAGGGCCCAGATGCCCCATCCCCTAGCATCACACCACCCTGCAGAGATGATCTTAAAAGCACGCACACCATGCACATTCATAGTCCTGGAGCCATTACTCATATCTTTTTAACCTGGAACTGAATAACTTTGGTTCTTTAACAAAAAATACTTGGAAAACATCAAAAAATGCCAAATCAAGTCTGAATGGATGTGATTAAAGCAGATGTTACATTCTTGCAGAATCATTAGAGACGGCTCCGCAAAACACAAAAAAGAAAAAAATGAATAGCTAAAGCGGAAATACACCACCAGATGGAGAGAATGAATAGAATGTAAACAAACACAGCATCTGACAACCAGGCTCTTTACCCACCTTGCAAACATTTCAAGGTCTTTGGCAAAATTTTCTGAAAGAGAAAAAGAGATGCACTTTAGCCACCCTTACCTTATTTCAGAAGGAAACCTCAATCTCTTGATTGAGTGACTAATACAGTGACTAATAGAACAAACCCTTTTACAGGTAAGAGGAGGCACTTTTGGCAGCCCCATCAGGGGAGAGGAGCCTTTCCATCTTATTCACTATGACCTCCCTGTCCTTCCTGGCACCCTTGACCCTTTATTACATGCCTTCTGGTAATTTCTTTCCTGGAAATCTTTCTTTCCTGGAAACTATCCCTTAACTTTAAATTTTGCTACAAGTTAGGACTTGCAAGGACATTAATTTCCTCTCAAGTCAAGCAAATACCACTGCCACAAGTTCAGCTGTCAAATAAACTATGGGTGATATAAAAATGTTATAAAGCAATGAAATAAAAAATTTAATGTCTAATGTTCCAGGCAGTTTAAAACACAATAAAATAAAGGTGTTAATGCCCCAGTGTTAGTGTGAATAGAAAAAAAAAGTTCTTCCCATAAAATATCCAAATCAGTCTTACAGCCGAGAAAATAAACGTTTCATGAATAGTGCCTGATGATAATGTTCTCTCTTTGATGGAAGGACAAGCCCAGCACCCACCCACACATTTCTCCCTGGCAAAATCAACCTTTGGGATTTCTATACATGTATAGGAAGACCATGGCTTCATACCGCACTGTCGAAAAGTCACCTCCGAAATCGCTGCAATGGTTTGTTTGCTGAACTGCATCTCTTTGTCCGATGCAACTTCCTCGCAAAGACAGCCAACAGTGTAGTGAACTGCTGCCTTTAGCCTCTGAAGCAAAAATCAAAATACTTCGTGGGTAAGGTTGCAAATAAGAGCTTTCACATCTTAGAAAATTAAGACCAAGGAGAAGGTCTGCTCAGCCTAATTCCTTCAGCACTTTCCATAATGGCTGAGTGACTTTTCAAGTGTACTAATAAATTAATGAGGCCCTCTGGAGTGTGACTTGTAGAAACATTACTTCCTAGCTAATGGTTATGATTTAGGTCAAGTAAAGATAAGGAATTACGATGGCAGGTCAGCGGGGAGAGAATTCAGACTGGCACTTGCAAAGTATCTGAGTGACTTTACTCAGTTATTTCACAAATACGTGCCAAGATCCTACTGAGGTGTTTGGGGAACACCATGAAAAACCCTAGGATGGGGGTTAATCAAGTAAATGCAAAAGGATCCCATCCCTCTGCTCCAAGTCCCTGCAGGTGAGAAAGGACAAATGATCAGGACAACACAGGGAAGGGCTCCTTTGATGTGCTGGTTTGCTAGCCCACCTCAGCAGGACCCTCACTGCTCCTCAGAAGCCCTTTTCAGATACCAGAAAACATATCATTTCCCCATGCAGAGGAGTAAAGAAGCAAACCAAGCTAAGCCAAGGTCTTGGTCTCAGGTCAACAGACTTGGGCCTGTGTGTACTCCATTTCTGGGCTGGAGACAGAGCTGACGTGGACATGGTGACAGCTGAACCCAAGATAGCATCAACTCTACCAGCAAGTGTCTACAGTTGAGGCAATCTGAGGAGGGACTGCAAAAACACAAGTCCAGGACTCCAGGTAGACGCCTGGCAGATAAGCAAGGCACCTACCTTCCTTAGTTTCAGATGTCACCAGACTAGGTAAATTGAGGCATTTGGCAGGAGGAGACAAAGGGACCCTCACCCTGGATAAAGGGCCTCCAAGGTCATCTTTTTTAGGTGTGTGTTGGGGGAAGGCTTGGGGTGGGGTATAGGACAGGAACCCTTCTGAATATTCCAGGAAGGTTTTTCTGTCCCTCCTCTTTCTCCTGGAGGAGGCTAAGCACCTTCTTCAATGCTGCAGACATCACCGCACTTAGAGGCTGAATCACTGGACTCTGAACTCCTCCAGGGCAGGACCCTGTCAGCTTTGTTCACCACTGTCCACCTAGTGCCAAGAACAGCTGGCTGCATGAACGGCTCACCACCGCACAGAGAACCAGGTTCAAATTTCTCTGCCCACCTTTGCAGCCTGACTCACTCACTCAGGAGGCATTTATTGCCTGTTGAGAGCCGGGCTCTGGACTAGGGGCTGAGAATACAGGAACGAAAAGGACAGCCCTGCTCTCCAGGTGTCTGTCTCCCACTACACCTTTGCCGTGAACGACTCTTCAAAACCATCAACGTCATGCAAGACAGAGCGTGGAGAACTGGCCCAAGGAAGACCAGAGAGACAGGATTACTGAATGCAATTTATGATCCTTGACCCGATCCTGGGTGAAGGAAAAAGACCACCGGAAAAACATCTTTGGGACAACCGAGGAAATTTGAATATGGGCTGAACATTAGCTAACAGGATTTTATCAATATTAAGCTTCCTGAGTGTGATCATCCAGATTATGTAGGAGAATGCCCTTGTCGTTGGGAGCTGCATACTCAAGTATTCAAATTTAATGGTCAAGTGTCACGATATCTGCAATTCTCAAATAATTCAGGAAAAAAAGGGCAGATACAGCAAAATGTTAACAATTGGTGAATGGAGGTGAGGGGCACATGGGCGTTGAGTGCGCTATTCCTGCACTTTTTTTGAAGGTTTGAACTTGTCAAAATAAAGCGGTGGGTGGGTAGACAGCTTCCGAAACTGAACACTCCGTCGGAAGGAAACTCCCACGCACACGGCTCCTTCGCGCGTCTCTTCAGTCAACCCTCAAAGGCCGCCACCCGGGTTCTCGGTTTGCGCCTCTTCACAGCGCCGTTCTGTTCTGACGCCGCGGCACTGTATTCGTTCCTGCGCTGATCAAAGGACTGAATACCCGCAAGCACCGCGTGATGGTTATTACTCCGGCTTTCCACAGAAGAAAACCGAGTTTGCGCAGAGTCAACACAACCCTCAGGCTGCGGACCCGACATTCGAACCCACACCCCGAGGCTGGGCTCCGGCCCGGCCGGCCCGGGTCCGCGTCTGCAGGAGGGAGAGCGCACGGGTTACAGCGGCCGGCTTTTCGGCGGCGGTCACAGAGCCAGAGGTCGTTCCCGCCGCCGCACGGGCACGCGCCGCGCTGCCCAGGTATCTTCCTCAGCCGCCGCCCGGCTCCGACCCGCGTTACCGTGGAAACCGTCTCCCAGCACCCCCCGCGGCAGCCGAGCCGGCGCAGGCGCAGGAGGCGGCCGGAGCCGGCCAGGGCGCGCCCTCCGCCCCCGGGATGCGGGCACACAGGTGAGGCCGCGGGGCCTTCTTCTCTCCGGAAGCTCGATACCGTCTTCCCCCAGCCCGGCCGGGCCCGTGTTCTCCTGTACCTGCCGGTAAGAGAATCGCTGCTGCTCCTCGGCCGCCTCCTCCTCCTCCATCACAGCGAGCTGACTAGGCAGGCGCACGAGGGCAGAAAGAGGCGGCGGGCGGGAAGGCCCCTCGGATTTTCCCGCCGCGGCCCCGGGCGACGGGACGCGCGGAGGGACAAACCGCGAAGTGCCACTCCGCCTCGCGCGCCCCCTGGCGGCGGCTCTGGGCAGGGTCCTTCGCGGTCCGTCTGCTCCAGCTTCTCTGTTTTAGCCGGCGGGATGGGTGGACCCCGCTCGGGCCGAGCTCCCCGTGGACCCCAGACCCCGCTCGGTGCCGGGCACAGTGCGTAACACCAGCTCTCGGAAGGAAGGTGTGTGCAGGGACAGCGTTGTTCCGCAACACTCTATTGTAAATGCCATGTGGCTGTAACTGCGGTGTGCCTTGCAGCATCCACCGTGAGTTTTTGTAACTCCGTCACCAACAATAGTGTCACAAAGTCACACCACAGATACATGCTCGATGACTATCCCATCCAGCAAATAAGTCGCTCACCTCATTGCCACTGACAAAGGAGTGACACGAAGGTTGGCTCATTTTCCTTTGTTAAGAAGTAAAATGAAACAGTGAAGCCCAACGTTGGGTCTTCACCGCTTCCGAACTTTGTTCGGTTATCTCCCTCCTTCCCGACCTGGCTCTTGGAGCTTCACTCGTACCTCAGTGACGTGAGCAGGGGACGTCTTTGCTGAATCAAACAATCCTGTTCAAGTACTGGAAGAATATTTCCTCAGTCTTGTGTGCTATTCACAACGTAAAGGCTCCAGACAGGACACACGTCCAAGCTTAATCCACATCACTAACGTTTTCCCCATCACTTCCTGAAGTAGACAGTCAGCAACAAATCAAACCCTGAATGGTAGCATTTGCGGCTTTCCGTGGTGTAAATACTCCCATCGTTGGCGATTTCAGGCTACCAGGGTCACTGAGGTCGCTGAACTCAGAATTAGGGAGAGATGCTGCAATAGTACACCCTCCACACAGACACAGAGATGCAAATAATGTCAAGAACATCGACAGTAGAAAAAGGTGCAATGTAGTGACATAATCAAGAGGTGAGTAGTTTTCAATCTAATTTACTGAAGCCTAAGTTCATGTAACTTAATTTTTAGTAACGGCTGTGTTTGTCTCTGGTTTTTAGTATTCCTGATAATGGAGAAATCAGCTCTCTCTGTAGGGACTGGCTCTAGCACGCCACTGGCCTGGCACGTAGTCACTTATTAAATCAAAGTTGACAGGATGCACTGTAATTAGTTCTTAGGTAAAGACAAGAGTGTCCACCTCGCTTAACTGAGTTCCAGTGAGAGCCCCAATGCCTGGCATGTTGTAGGTGCTCACCAGCTGTTTGTGGAAGACCTGAATCTCAATAAGTAGGTGACAAAGCAAAGGCTCCTTAATAATAGGCAGGCTAGGCCCTCAAATCATCAGCAATGTATGGGCCCCAATTTTTTTTTCTTTCTTTCTTTTTTTTTTAGTGAGGAAGATTGGCCCTGAGCTAACATCTCTGTCAATCTTCCTCTATTTTATGTATGTGGGATGCAGCCATAGCATGGCTTGATGAGCAAGCGGTGTGTAGGTCTGTGCCCGGGATCCGAACCTGCAAACCCCAGACCACCAAAGCGGAGTGTGCGAACTTAACCACTACGCCACTGGGCTGGCCCCTGGGCCCCCAATTTTTTGAAAGAAATTTGACTTAGTTATATATTTTCTAAAGACTCACTGCAATAATCGGGGGAAAATAGTATTTTTGGACCTCCTCACACTTCTTTTACAGTTTAGTTTTGTGTTTATTTTGAATTACATCTGGGGGTGAGTGTGGAAAGCTTTTCATGTTGAGAGCTCCTAAAGGCCTTAATCCATCCCAGTTTTCCTATATTCCCAACACCTTGTCACTGCATGTTAAAATCATCTGCCTTTCTTGACAAATGTGAAACTACCTAAGAAAAGAGGGATGCTCAGTGTCTATGTGTATTTGTGCTTAATGGGAAGAATATTCAGGCAACCTCTCCTTTCATTGTCTCTGTGGAGAAAGTCCAGGATAGAGGGAAAAAAGTGAGAAATTGCAGATGAAGAATCACACAAGGGTTTCCTTTTGATGCCTCACCCGGCAGCTGCCCCACGTCTCAGCTGAATCCTACAAGAGGAGGCAGAAATTCAAAATATAAAGTTATTAGGGGTTGGTTATTTGCATAACATAAGGATTTTATTCTTCAAGATAATCTACAGAGAGTTCTTGGAAACACTAAGCTCTAATGCATTTAAATTGCCAGAATGATGTCTTCTGTGACATTAAATGAAAGAAAACAACTTGCAGACCAGTATGTACAAAATAATCTTATTTTCTTAAAAAAAGAGCATATGAGGCCAGCCCTGGTGCTAGTGGTCAAGTTCAGTGCACTCCGCTTCGGCGGCCCAGGTTCTGTTCCCAGGCGCAGACCTACACCAGTCATCTATCAGTGGCTGTGCTGTGACGGTTCACATACAAAACAGAGGAAGACTGGCCATAGATGTTAGCTCGGGGCGAATCTTCCTTAGCAAAAAAAAAAAGCATATGCATCTACTTGGGGGTGTGGAATATTTGAAAGGAACAGAAAAGAGCTGGAGGGATACATGGCGAATACAGTTAACTTCTGAGCAGTAGGTTGAAGAGAAGGCAGATAAGGGCACTCACATTTTTCACTGTATATATTTCTGTATTCTGCATTTTTTGACAAGCATGTAATTCTTTTATAATTAAAGGTAAGCACATAAGCCACTCCTCATTTTCCTCTTCCACGAAGTCCCCTCAAGCCCCACAAGCGTGCAGAGGGCTGAGACGTGGGGATCCTTTTTTTGGAGGAATCAGCCTTCTAATCAGTTTCCACTGCATCTGAGACGACAGGCACTTCTGGCCTCTTTTCCCCACTGCTCCGTGGGGGAACCCCAGGCTCCTGGGATGGTCCTCCATGCCAGGCAGGGCAGGCCTCTGCCGAGATTTCTCTAATCTGCAGCCTCTGCCTTGGCAGGCCGAGTTCTGCCTGCCACCCTGCTCCCTAACCACTGCAGTGCTCTGGTCTCCAGCAGCAAGCAGGGCAGGTGGTCCCAGGCCTGCAGCAGGAAAGAAGGCGATGGGGATGGTAAGCTCCTGCCCTAGGGCCAGAACTTGGGTTCAGAGCCCAGCCCCGTCTCCCAGTTCTGTGACCCTGAGCAAGTCACAGAGCCTCTCCAAGCCTCCGTTCCCTCGTTTCTAAAGTGGGGATCACAGTACCAACCTCACAGGTTGTGAGGTTTAGATTGCCTCACTTAAGTGCTCAAGAAATACCGGCAATTATTTCCTAGGCGGTTTCTATGCTTTGTGCCTTGCATGCTATCTCATTTTAAAGCAGTTGCTTCCCAGAACATTATTCTAGCGACACTTGTGGAATACTCAGGCATTTTAGAGTCTGAAGAGAAAGGGCCAGGGCTGAAGTATTACGTTACAGAACGTGGATATTTGGTTGAAACTATTTTTACTCATGAAGAGCCAGCTATGTGAACTGGCCACTAGATGTCAGCATTGCGCCACGGCGTGAAACAGGCCAGTCCTGCTGCAGGTGACCATTGTCGCTAACCCTGAGTTGTTCTAGGTGTCCACTTTATTTTTTAATTTTTTTAAAGATTTTATTTATTTATTTTTCCCCCAAAGTCCCAGTGTCTGTCATAGCTGCACATTCTTCTAGTTGCTGTATGTGGGACACGGCCTCAGCATGGCCGGAGGAGCGACGCGTCAGTGCGCACCCGGGATCCGAACCCGGGCCGCCGGCAGGGAGCGCGTGCACTTAACCGCTAAGCCACAGGGCCGGCCCTAGGTGCCCACTTTATATCTCAGCGGCCCTCAGAGGTAGGTGCCATTATCCCCATTTTACATGGGAGGAAACAGGGTCACAGAGGTGAAAGCACTTTGCCCGAGGTTAAACTGCTAGGAAGTGGTAGAGCCCGGATTTGATTATGAGCAGCCTGGTTTCTGGGTCCACGCACTCAGCCTCCACTCTCATCCTCGCCCTCATCATTAATAAGACAAGGACATCTGCGTGTTTCCTGAATCCTTTTCAGCTGCATTAAATAGGGTATCATAAATATTTAGTTCAATAGCAGTCATTTGTTTTCCCTAAAATTGCACTGTAAAATGCTGATTCAAAAATCCATCTCTATTAGCTATTATTATATGTATTCTATAAGCTCATGAGGTCAGAACTTTCTACTTCTCTCACCACTGACAAATGGTACTCAGCACAGTGCTTGGCACATAGTAGTTATACAATAAATATGCCAGTGACTGAATGGATGAATAAATTAAATGTACACATTGAGCGATAAGATAATCTAATGATTAGGCGCATGGACTCTGACACCAGATTGCCTGGTTCAAATTCCAGTTCTTCCTCAGAAGCTTTGTGACCTTGGACAAGTCACTCAACACCCACGTGCTCCATCTGTAAGTCGGGGGTAACGATAGTACTTCCTTCAGAGGGTGTTGTATTCAATGAGTTCATTGAGAACAGTGCCTGGCACGCACTCTGTTGACTATTATATTCTTATGCATGCCGTTTATACTGTGTGAGACCCTCAGGAAAACCCCCAATAGGGCCAGAGATCCCGACTTCCCCATGTAACAAATAGGCCTTTTCAAGGGAAGCATATGTGGCAGGTTATATTTTCCAAAAAAAAAATAAAAACCAGTATCTCCTGACCCACATGCTCGTCTAGAACCTTACCACTCCCCCATCAAGAGGCAGAGTCACCCTCCTCTCCTTGAATTTGGGGGCTTATGACTCGTTTCTTACTGAAATAATGCTGTGTGACATCCATGGCTAGGTCTTAAAAGGCACTGTATTGTCGGTTTGTTAGCTAGAACAGTCCTCTTTGGAGCCCTGAGCCTCCATGTAAGAAGTTTGCCTAGGGCCGGCCCCGTGGCTTAGTGGTTAAGTGTGCGTGGCTCCACTACTGGCAGCCCGGGTTCGGATCCCGGGCGCACACCGACGCACCGCTTCTCCGGCCGTGCTGAGGCTGCGTCCCACATCACCCAGAAGGATGTGCAGTTATGACATACAACTATCCACTGGGGCTGTG